AGGAAGTTAAGTTTTAACCAGAAGGGCAATTAGCTCATTTGTGCTCGGCACCCACCAGGTGTCGATCAAGCACAGGGTTCGGCTCGGATTCCAAAGTGGAATTTGGGTCAGGTCCTATTACGTATTCTATAGTTTTAGCAAATGGATTTCACTCAAAACTCACCAAATGACTTCCACAATATTATTATGTTCTCCAGGTTTTGGGCTCAACCCTATATCGATTGGTCCACGAAATTGGACAATTCAAGTTCGTACGAAGTTCATTCTGAAATGGTGTGCTCGGTGTATTGCACAGTTCTAGAGATGAGATTTCACTCAAAACCCACCAACTGACTCCTCCCACCATATTATGATGTTCCCCAAGTTTCAGACTCACTCCAAATCGATTGGTCCACGACATCGAACAATTCAGCTTCGTATGAAGTTCGTTCAGAAATGAAGTCATTGGTGTATATTTCTAGAGATTGAATTTCACTCAAAACCCACCAAATGACTCCTCCCACCATATTATTATGTTTCCCAAGTTTTGAGCTCAATCCGATCTCGATTGGTCCAAGAAATTAGACAATTCAGGTTAGTACAAAGTTCATTCTGAAATAGAGTGGTTGGTTTATTGCATAGTTTTAGCAATTGGATTTCACTCAAAACTCACCAAATAACTCCTCCCACAACATTATGATGTTCCCCAAGTTTTGGACTCAATCAGATATCGATTGGTCCATGAAATTGGACAATTCAGGTTCGTGCGAAGTACGTTCTGAAATGGATTAGTTGGTGTATTGCATAGTTCTAGGGATTCAATTTCACTCAAAACCCACTGAATGACTCCTCCCACCATGTTATGATGTTTCCCAATTTTTGGACTCAATCCTATATCGATTGGTACACGAAATCGGACAATTCAGGTTCGTACGAAGTTCGTTCTTAGGTGGAGTGGTTGGTGTATTGCATAGTTTTAGCTGTTGGATTTCACTCAAAACTCACTAAATGACTACTCCCACAGCATTACGATGTTCCCCAAGTTTTGAACTCGATCCGATATCGATTGGACCAAGAAATTGGACAATTCGAAGTCGTACGAAGTTCGTTCTGAAATGGAGTGGTCGGTCTATTGCCTAGTTTTAGCAATTGGATTTCACTCAAAACTCACCAAATGACTCCTCCCACAACATTATGATGTTCCCCAAGTTTTGGACTCAATCCGATATCGATTGGTCCATGATATTGGACAATTCAGGTCTGTATGAAGTTCGTTCCGAACTGTAGTGGTTGGTGTATAGCATTGTTCTAGAGATTTGATTTCACTCAAAACCATCCAAACGACTCCTCTTGCCATATTATGATGTTCCCCAAGTTTTGGACTGAATCCTATATTGATTGGTCCACGAAATCGGACTATTCAGTTTGTACAAAGTTCGTTCTGTGGTGGAGTGGTTGGTGTATTCCATAGTTTTAGCTATTGGATTTCACTCAAAACTCACCAAATGACTTCGCAAACCCTATTATAATGTTTCCCAAGTTTTTGGATCAATCCGATATCAATTGGTCCAACAAATTGGACAATTCATGTTCGTACGAAGTTCATTCTGAAATGGAGTAGTCGGTCTATTGCCTAGTTTTAGCAATTGAAATTCACTCAAAACTCACCGAATGACTCCTCCCACAACATTATGATGTTCCCCAAGTTTTGTACTCAACCCGATATCGATTGGTCCATGATATTGGACAATTCAGGTCTGTACGAAGTTCGTTCTGAAATTGAGTGGTTGGTGTACTGCATAGTTTTAGCAATTGGATTTTACTCAAAACTCACCAAATGACTACTCCCTCCACATTACGATGTTCCTCAAGTGTTGGACTCAATCCGATATCGACTGGTCCAAGAAATTGGAAAATTCAAGTTCATACGAAGTTCGTTCTGAATGGAGTGGTTGGTGTATTACATAGTTTTAACAATTGGATTTACCTCAAAACTCACCAAATGACTCCTCCCACAACATTATGATGTTCCCCAAGTTTTGGACTCAATCCGATATCGATTGTTCCAAGAAATTGGACAATTCAGGTTCGTACGAAGTTCGTTCCGAAATGGAGTGATTGGCGTATTGCATAGTTTTAGAGATTCGATTTCACTCAAAACCAACCAAATGACTCTTCCCACCATATTATGATGTTCCCCAAGTTTTGGACTCAATCCTATATCGATTGTTCCACGAAATCAAATAATTCAGGTTTGTACGAAGTTCATTCTAAAGCGGAGTGGTTGGTGTATTGTGTTGTATTATCAATTGGATCTCCCTCGAAACCCGCCAAATGACTCCCCTTCCCATATTATGATGTTCCCCAAGTTTTGGGCTCCATCCGATATTGGTTGTTCCATGAAATTGGACTATTTAGGTTTGTACGAAGTTCGTTTTGAAATGGAGTGGTTGGTGCATTGCATAGTTTTAGCAATTGGATTTCCCTCAAAACTCACTAAATGACTCCTCCCACAACATTATGATGTTCCCCCGGCTTTGGACTCAATCCGATGTTTCACACACACTTAAACCCTAGCCACCCATATATTTCCACCATCAAGACTCATTGCAGGAGGCTGTTCTTGGAGAAGTTCAACATCAGAATCGGTTCAAGGGTTTCCTCTCATGCATTTATTTTCACTCATGTTCTTCTTTCACTCAAAACCCACCAAATGACTCATCCCACCATATTATTATGTTTCCCCATAATCTTTGTGAACATGATGTTTAACTAAATTCATAGCTAGGGATTTCGTATGAAGTCCGTTCTGAAATAATGGAGTGGTTGGTGTACTGCATAGTTTTAGCAATTGGATTTTACTCAAAACTCACCCAATCACTACTCCCACAACATTATGATGTTCGCCAAGTTTTGGACTCAATCTGATATCGATTGGTCCAAGAAATTGGACAAGTCAAGTTCGAACGAAGTTCGTTCTAAAATGGTGTGGTTGGTGTATTTCTTAGTTGTAGCAATTGGATTTCACTCAAAACCCACCGAATGACTCCCCCCACCATATTATGGTGTTCCTCAAGTTTTGGACTCAATCCGATATCGATTGGCCCAAGAAATTGGACGATTCAAGTTTGGACGAAATTCGTTCTGAAATTGAGTGGTTGGTGTATTGGATAGTTTTAGCAATTTGATTTCCCTCAAAACTCACCAAATGACTCCTCCCATAACATTATGATGTTCCCCAAGTTTAGGACTCAATCCTATATCGATTGTTCCATGAAATTGGACAATTTATGTTCGTACGAAGTTCATTCCGAAATGGAGTGGTTGGTATATTGCATAATTCTAGAGATTCGATTTCACTCAAAACAAACCAAATGACTCCTCCCACCATATGATGATGTTCCCCAAGTTTTGGACTCAATCCTATATCTATTGGTCCATGAAATCGGACAATTCAGGTTCGTACGAAGTTCGTTCTGAAGTGGATGCATTGTATTAGCAATTGGATCTTGCTCGAAACCCACCAAATGACTCCCCCTTCCATATTATGATGCCCAAGTTTTGGACTCAATCCGATATTTATTGGTCCATGAAATTGGACTATTCAGGTTTGTACGAAGTTCGTTGTGAAATAGAGTGGTTGGTATATTGCATAGTTTTAGCAATTGGACTTCATTCAAAACTCACCAAAGGACTCCTCCCACAACATTATGATGTTCCCAAGTTTTGGGCTCAATCCGATATCGATTGGTCCAAGAAATTGGACTAGTCTTGTTCGTACGAAGTTCATTCTCTAATGCAGTGGTTGGTGTATTGCGTTGTTTTAGCAATTGGATTTCACTCAAAACCAACCAAATGAGTCCCCCCACCATATCAGAGCGACTCCACCCATTTGCCCCTTGCCATTGCAAGGGGGGCTAGGGCAGCCACTATTCACGTGAATAGTTGTTCCTTGTAAATAGTATTGTCTGTTTCCACCCGTTGCCATGGCAACTGGCGCGACTTATTAAATTGGAAACTAAGTTAAGGGAACAATGATTGGGGGGAAATTGGATGATTTAGAATAAAGTAAAACTGACAGCAGCAAACAACTAAGTTGTGAATGAAATATGGATTAAGGGATAGCTAGAGGATTCTTCTCCACACATGGAACATATGCACACAAATCGATCTCCAGTTACTCTTTCTATAAAGTATGAATGACAAAGCCCCAAAATAGTTGTGAATGCACTAATTAACTCTCAGATTTTCCTAAGTTCATTGAATTGGACTCAGCGACGCAATCAAATTATCCTTATCAAGTTCCCTATATGAACAGCATGATAGAGATACATATCAAAGATCATTAAGTTCTATGAAAATCATAAGCCTTGACAAGGCATTTGTAACTATGAAAAGCATGATACTCCTGCCAAGAATTTACTTAACGCAATCATGACTAGTGACTTTTACTACTTGTGAATATAAGTTCATAACGATTAGGTGAAATTCCCTTATATTCTAGCATCAAATCCCTGCATACAAACTAAGTATGCATCCTTAATAAACATGCAAGAATAAGTCCTCAATAAAACAGAAAAGTAAATCACATTCATACTTTATGAAACCATAACTGGAAGTAATCAATTCATGTAAAACATATGTCCATGGCTTCGAATTCACCTCTAACTAAGAAGAAATTCAGTTACACATGTTCATAATAATTGAAAAGCAATCTAGAATAAACATTTGAACTAATCAAGGGAAGAACTCTGAAAAACCCAATGGATGCAGCAGGTTTCGGCGCCAAGTTCTTCTTCTCCCTTTCTCCTTTCTTGCTACGGCACGAAAAGAACTCCCTTCTCCTGCGGCAACCCCTCCTTTATATATGTGGTAGATCTAGGGTAAAAGGGCCCAGCAGAAACCCACAAAATTAGGATTTTATTTGGCAGATTTCTTTAGGCATTATAGGGCCCAGAACACATGGGTTGCCTCCCAAGAAGCGCTTGCTTTAACGTCTACCAGCCGGACGGTACCTCCCTTTAAGCTTTACTAGGGCCAATGGCATGGAGGGGTACATCCTCCACTCCATGCTCCTCAAAAGACTCATAGTATAGCTTCAAACGGTGTCCATTCACTTTGAATTCATGTCCCGTCTTAAAACTTTGAATTTGGATTGCACCATAAGGAAAAACATTAGTAACAACAAAAGGACCAATCCATTTAGAACGCAACTTACCCGGAAACAAACGAAGGCGAGAGTTGAAAAGTAACACTTTCTGCCCCACAGAAAATGTTTTACTACGAATCATCTTGTCATGGGCAGCCTTTGTTTTCTCCTTGTAAATATGAGCGTTCTCATAAGCTTCAGTCCGAATTTCCTCAAGCTCATTCAATTGCAATTTCCTATGAAGTCCAGCGGCATCAATGTTCATGTTGAAAGTCTTGACTGCCCAATGTGCACGATGCTCCAACTCAACTGGAAGATGGCATGGTTTCCCATAAATGAGCCGAAAAGGAGACATTCCAATTGGTGTTTTGTAGGCAGTACGATATGC